TGTGTGTGTGTGTGTGTGTGTGTGTGTGTGTGGCCAGCTCAGTCCACCAGAGGGCGGGGCTGGCTGGCATTTGGTGCTGGGGATTGAACCGCATAGCTAAGCTTGTTCTAAGTAGGCGCTTTAGACCACTGAGCCATCTCACCAGCCCCAGTAGCAAAGAAATTATAGAAGAATAAAGCAGGAATCATTGAGTTTGGAGAGTTTGAGGAGGATCTGAAGAAAGGACATTTGAGTTAGATCAAAAATGAGGGAAAAAAAATCTAGGGGCTGGGGAGATGGTTCAGTAGAATAAGCGTTTCCCTGGCAAGCACAAGGGCCTGAGTTCAATCCCCAGTTCTGTAAAAAATAAAATAAAATAAAAATGAGGGCCAGCCAAATAGCTCAGTGGATTAAAGCACCTGCCAGCAGGCACAGGGGCCGGGGATTCTATCCTCCCAAGTGCTGGAAGGCTGTAAACAGGCAGTTTACTATGAGTCCGATCTAGTAGTGAGACCCTGAACACCCTGTAGACCCTTTCCTAAAAATACAAAATAAATAAAAATTAGGGGACTGGACATGGTAATGCATGCTTGTAATCCCAGCGCTCAAGAGGCTGAAGCAGGAGAATAATTGGGAATTTGAGACCAGTCTGGGTTACAAAGTGAGCTCAAGGCCAGCCTGAACTGCAGAGAGACCCTGTCTCAAAAATAAAAAATTGAGTCTATGTGGGTATCTGGGACACGAGTTCAAGGCATGGTGGGTGCAAAGGCCCTGAGGTAGGAACACATGGCGTGTTTAAGGAACAACCAGAAGCCCTGGGTAGTGAATGCTGCAGAAAGAATGGAGGGAAGGCCAGAGCGATGGCCAGCAAGGTGCCAGGAGCACTGAGAAGTAGGAAGTTCAATGGATAAAGCAGACTGCCGGCCGTGCTTAGACTGGAGTTCAGCTCATGATCAAGAGTGACTAGTCCACCTGATTGCCCCAGGGTGCTTCCAATGTCAGTCTCCTGCCAGTTGGGCTGGGGACACAGCTAAAGTAGTGGAGCACTTGTAGCCAGGCACAGGGCCCTGGGATCCACCCCTAGTACCACAAATAGTTTGTTGAGTGAATAACTGAAAGGACATGTCAGAGTCAGATATCCTCCTGACTTGTGCTGGACTGTACTTCCACCAGGGCCAGTCTGGGCCTGTCTTGGCCCCAGCTGTGTACACAGAAGCTGCAGCACAGGGCTTTGCTCAGGGAACATTTGCTGTCACCACCTCTCATGGCTGTCAGAATTTCTCAACAGGTCTGGGAGTCCATGAATGTCAGCATTGCTTATACATGCTTCAGAAGAGCTGGGGACACACAGTCACCAAGGTAGCACTGGTTGTGTTGTCACAGCTTTGGGATCAGTGGAAGACTGACCTGTCCCTACAGTGACAACCCAGGATGGGCAGGACTGTTCCCTAGAGCCCAGAGATCATGGAGGTCAGGGTGGACACCCTGGAGGAGTCATTGCATGGCCACCTGGAGGATGCCTGGGGCAGGGGAATGAAGGAGCCGTGGTCCGGGCATGAGCCTGGGGGGCATATGGCCAGCCAATGGCCAGCTAACATGAAGGGGCTACGGCAGGAGCAGGGAAAAGTGCTCAAGCTCTGGGAGCCTACACGCCTCCCAAGGAGGATGGGAAGCTGCAGAAGGATCTGAGTAGGGACAAGTATCAGGTTTTTGGAGGGTCTTTTAGGGAAAGGATGCTGGCGACAGAACCCCAAGGCATTTTTCCCCCCTCTTCACTTGGTACAGGGTCTCACTATGCAGCTTGGACTGCATGTGCTACCATGCTTGGTTTTGGTGGCTGGCCAGGTGTGCCCAGGGTTCTGGGGCTGGGATGGCACGCAGTATGGGAACCAAACCTGGGTCCTTGTGCTTGCCAGGCAGGCACTTAAGACTGCTGAGCTATCTCACCACCCTAGAAGTTAATGTACTGTGCATGGTAAGTGAGCACTCTACTACTGAGCTACATCCTCAGCATCTTTTATTCTAAATTTTGAGACAAAGTTTCTGGGCTGGGGAGAGGGATCAGTGGTATAAGCGCTTCCCTGGCAAGCACAAGTGTGAGTTCACTCCCCAGTTCCGCCAAAAAAAAAAAAAAAGTTTTCACTAAGTTGCTGGCCTGGAACTGTTTTGTTTTTCAACACAGGGTTTTGTCATGCAGTTCAGTCTGGCCTTGAACTAAGTAACCTAGACTGGCTTCAAACTCAAGAAGATCCTCCTGCTTCAGCCTCCCAAATTGGGATTAAAGGCATGCACCACCATGGTTTATAGCTTTGTACTTTAGAAATTGTCCTAAATAGATGGCAGTACACACCTGTAATCCCTGCACTCAGGAAAGCTGAAACATGAGAATCAAAGGTGTGAGGACATCGAAGCAACTTAAGGAAACCATATTTAAAAATAAAGGGCTGGATTGTGGGTTGTTACTCAGTGCAAAAACCCGAGTTCAATCCTCAGTATTGCACAAAAAACAAAAACAAAAAACCAAAAAAACCCAGTGTTTTCTAGCTGCTGGATAGCATGGGACACGGTTGGGCAGGACCATAGAGCTGGGGAGCCTGTCCTAGCTGGTCTCAGGTGGCAGACAAAAAGTAAAGCCTCCCAAGGGACTATAATGGGCCTTGCCAGCAGCACGGGGGTGGGGCTAGAGTAAGAGCCAGGGGCAACAGGGCCAGTGGACTGGAGTGGCTTGAGAGCCCACACCCTTCCACAGCCTGCCTGTGCACCCCACCTTGCGTCCTAAGGGCCCTGCGCAGAAGCCATGCTGCACAGCTCCAGGCTTCTCCAAGGGCACTGGGGAGCCATGAAATGATGCAGAGCAGGGAAGGGGACGAGACCAGCACCTGGAGCTGCTCAGTAAGCACATCTCCCAGGGGCTTCTGATTCCATGCCTGGCTCTGCAGAGGGTGGCACAGGGAACCTGACAGAGCAGTGCATCTACAGGACTGAGGCCACCCCAAAGATAAATCTGGAAGTGAGGGTCCCTGGCCTGTAGGTTTTGCACAGTGGGTACATAAATCCCTGCTCCCAGGGAGGGGCTAGGAAGGCACAAGTGCCCCCTGCTGACAACCTGGTGGGTCCTCGGTGCCAATGATCCCCTATGCCTTTGGGGCACTACAGCATCTTTGCTGTTTGCCTATCCCCACATGCTGAAGAAGGGCACCCATTCAGGTGCCACTACTAAGAGGACGAGGGAGAGGAACATAATCCTCTGGTGGCAGCCACTGTATTCATGAGTTGGGCCTGTGCGAGGAACACTCCTGGGCCTGCTGGTGGCATGGAGCACATGGGAGTCTCTGGGCACCTTGGCATCTATGGAATGGGGACAGCTTTAGGGGGCCCTTGAAAGCAAGCAGGAGAGGAGTGACAAACACAGCTGGCTCTAACTGCAAGTCACTGTTGCCACCCTCCCATGCCTTGACCCTGCAGCAGAGCCAGCTCACCAACCTCAGAGCTGCAGCATGTGATTGAGGAAGGCGAGGATGGGCAATTGTAGAGTTTAAGTTAAACACCCATATGAATTTATTAAATCCAGACTGTGTTAAGGGTGGTGGCCTGGGAGGAGGGGGTCGGGGACAAGGGACAAGATGACAGATGACCGCAGGCATCCCACTGCGGCCCTGGCCCCTCCCCAGCCCAGTCCCTCCCAGCGCCAAGTCAGCGTCACCATGATTCCCAGTGGTGCTGGGGGGCAGGGCAAGATGGCTGGAAACACACAGGGACAGAAGGACAGATGGCACCTCCACGAACAGCGAGCCTGGCCTGCCTTGGCCCCCACATCACACGCTGGGCCCTGGCTCGAGGGGACCTCCTACCACCTGGCCCAATCTGTCCAAGGAAAGGGCCACAGGGAAGGGAGGCAAGGGGGCCGGAGTGGCAGGGTGTGGTCACCAGGAGCCAGTGTGGACAAGGAGGACCATGGTGGTTAATCCTTTTTCTTGTCCTCTGCTGGCTTTGGAGGGGCTTCCTGGGGCTCAGATGTGGTAGCCTCCTCGCTGGCTGAGGTGGCAGGTGCAGATGTGAGGGCCCCCGCTGTCGTGGAGGCCTGGGGCACAGGGACAGCTGCTGTGACGTCCTCTCCACTCATGCCAAACTCGTTCACACGGGTGGGGTCGACGCGGTAGATCCACCGTTGATAGAGGTAGATGAAGAATACCACGTCTGTGGGGACAAGTGTGGTGAGGGAGGGGTGCCGGGCCTTGGCCTGATGTGGAGATGGCCATGGGCCCAAGCCCCACCCCTGCCCACCCAACTGCAAATGGGAACTCACCATCCCGCAGGCATCCGATCCGGTACATGACAGGCATCTTGATGACAAAGGCAAACAGGTCATCGATGAAAGTGTTGAGGGCCTTGTAAGTGAGCATGCGCCATGGCAGGTGGGCCACAGACTTGAGCTTATAGTTGATGAATAGCTGGGGGGTCATGGTGATGAAGCCTGCATGGTGGTGAGGGCAAAAACACTGAGTATAGGGGCACTAGCATTTGTCCTGCCAATCAGATCTTTGTATGGGTCCCTCCTCAAGGACCTCCCTGGCCTCAGTTTGAACATGGTCTCCCCTACCCCTTCTTGCATGTACCCCAGCCTGCCCTTCACGGACTCATCCCTTGCCCTGAAGCCTGGCTGTTGTTTGCTATCTGGGTTACTCATGAGACAAAATGCTCCTCTGGGGACAAAACTGGAATCATGCTGTTCAAGTCCTTCCAGGAGCTCTGCCTGCCCCTAGCTGACGTCATCTGCATCGCGAGAGACTCACCGAAGGTCAGCAGAAAGCCGTAGAGCATGCTGAGCACCCACGAGTACCAGCCCTTGTGCTCCAAGTACAGGAGGCTGTAGACGGCATAGCAGCCCAGGAGCGGGAAGAGGATCCACGACAGGTACCGGAAAGCCATCTGAGGGTCACAGAGGGCTGGGACTGGCTCCAAGCCCACCTGTCACCCCTGCACCCTACCCCACCCACCTGGTCAGGCAGGCTGAGCCAAGGGAATTTCCAGATGGCTCTGAGAACTCTGGACCTGGCCAGGAAGCAAGGGGCCCTACAACAGTCAGGCTCCTCCCCTCAGGAGCAGGTAGGTGCTTAGAGACCACCCCCCCCCCAGGCTGTTGGAACACTCACGTCATCATATACTTTGGTGGAGGACTCGATATATGTGGACTTGTCTTTGAATGTCGGACAGGGGAAGATTCCTGCCACCCTGTGCTCCCGGTCCAGCTGCGCCCAAAGGAGAAGGCTGTGGTCAGCTGTGTACTGCCTTCCCCCCATGCCAGAATCGGCTGCTGCCCTTCCCCACTGTTCCCAGTTCCCCTGTCCTACGTGTGACCCAAAAAATCCCCTGGTGTGAAAATCCCCTAGGCCTGGGAGTGAGGGCAGGCATCGGGAAACCCCCAGGGACCAGCTCCAGGGTCAGCCTGGGCCACACCACCGCCCTGCTCACCTCTCCACCACCCAACACCATGGTGACCAAACTTACCCGGACATCCATGACCTTGGTAATCTTCCAGAGGTCAATAAGGACCCCAATGAAGACGCTGACCTGAACCACAAAGTTGGTCTCATTGTCCAGGATGTAGAGCAGAACCACAAAAGATTGGAACACACCGAAGAAGACAGAGCGCACAGAGAGCCCCTCCAGGGACTGCCGACTATTCCAGAACTGGATATCTGCACAGAACAGAGACCTGCAGACTGAGGAGCTACCCATGGGGTACCGGTGACTGCTCCTCTCTCCCTTCCCTCCAAGGCTCTCTCATTTGTGGGTACCCACCCAAGCACTCAAAAGGCAGGACCTCTGTGATCCCAGGTAGCACAAGAGTAGCCAGTGCCCCAGGGCAACGAGAGCTGATCAGGAAGCCGCCTCCCTGAGGCGGCACAGCCTGGCATGAAAGAACCTGGCCAGAAACCAGGTCTATGCCACATCGAGGCACGTCCTACCCCTTCACTCCATGGGAAGCTCTGGGGCACATTTTCAGCCACCTCCTCCAGTCCCCTTTCCCATCACCATGTAGGAACAGACCTGTGGACACCCTTAGGGTATAGATAAGCACAGGACCCTGTCTCTACCCAGACAGCCCTGGGGGCCTGGACTTCTCCCAGCCTGGCCAGCCTGAGCATCTGCCAACTGCAGCCACAGGGGAGAGACCTGACCTACAAGGCTTGGGTTAGAGGGGGTGCCAGTCCGGCTAGCAGTCCTGGCTCACCTGCCCAACCCCGGGGTAAACTCACCAGGTCCACCTGCCTGTCACACAGATCTACGACTCCTGACACAGAAGGACAGTCTGCACCTGGGGTTCGGGTGGGAGCAAGGCCCACACCTTCTGCTCTGACCAGGAGTGAGTAAACCATTGCACCTCATATCTCATCAGGACAGAAAGCAGCCAGGGTGATGTAGATCTAGTCCAGGACTTGCAGAAGGGTCCAGGTAATTGGTGCCTGCCCCAGCATAGCTAGGCAACCAGCTCACAGACTGCCAAGGCCGCTGCAGGGACAGCTACAAGGTGGCTCTGTCACGGCAGTGTCACCATCACAATGGTCCCCCTCTTTCAGTCTTTTTGAGACAGTCTCCTTACGCAGTTCAGACTGGACTTGAGCTCACTTTAGCCCAGGATGATCTCAAACTTACAACAATCCTCCTGCCTCTGCCTGCCGAGTGCTGGGATTA